GAGGAAGGGATTGAGGCTGAGAGTGTTCATTCAAGGTTGGCTATGGAAGATACTTACCTGAGTTGGATGTGATCTGCAGAGGTGGCATTGATGAGTGGTGACCACATTGATGACTTGGAGATTATCTGCAGGGGTAGCACTGATTCACTGGAAGGCATATTGATGAGTTGGCAAGATTTTGGTGTTGCGCTGATGAGCGCTGGACTCAGGGAAACTTTGAAACACTTTGTATTCATATTTTTGATAATATAAGCTGTGAAACTCGGTTCTCATCTTCTCTACCTTTGTCTATTATCAGACTACTGTTCGTTGTGTGTGGGAGAACGATGCATGGCATGTACACACTTGCGTGAGATGGTCTCCAGGACCCATGCAGTATCGTCACAAACAGAAATATTATATATCGTCATATATATATACTCGCTCAGAACAGAATCTGTGACCTTATTTGAAGTTATTTAATTGTTCACTCCTCTCTTCCAATGCTTTCTTGGGAGAAGTCACTATGCGTCTTCCCCCAAATCACCCGTACGGTATTTAGAATCTTAGATACATATATTTGGGTCAAGTTTCAGTCTACGAGTCTACCTACATTGAGAATGATCGTACTTTCTATTGGGGGGAAGACGGTAGGCCCGTCCGTCTTCCCCCAAACATAACGTATATGCGTTGTAAACGAAATGACACATATATGTTGGTTGTTTCTATTCAAATTTCAAATACAAGGCACGCGTGTTCTATTCGAACAGCCCTGGTGTTCGAATACAATGCTTGTGCACTCTATTCGAATTTTTTGAATTTTTCAAACACTCAAATACAACACATATGCGTCAAGTTCGGGCGAAGACAGTCGGATGGCATAACACACATAACGGCAGTGTAAGCAAGAGTGGTAATTACTCATTATTCGTCGCTTTCCGAAGGACCATGCCACATCGATTAGTCTACCGGACGGATCTCAGACAGCCTGACCGGCCCCAACCCTTGACCTGGGCAGGCTCTACTCCTTTCGGCCTGAGCCCAGGGGGCCAAATGGCCCTCTGCTGTCCGCTGGAACGCTCTCATGGCCTCACACGACAAGACAACGGCGTTGTTTATTTTTTCATCGAGCGGCACAGAGAATATCGAGCCTTTTCTTTTGTTTTTGTGTTTTGTTTTGTTTTTTTAAGAATATACGGCCATTCAATGCAGAAACAATATCTGCGGCAAGCTGAGAAGAGGGGAGCACTCTGGAGTACAGACTAAGGGGCATCCCCAATGGTGCTTTGTTAGTTAGTGCTTGTAAAGCAAGAACCTGACTGCGATGGATGCCCAGGTTCACGGGTTCCAAGCATGAACATAGCACCATTAGCGACTAGCCGTAGCACAGGACAATCTACCGTCGGCATCTTCCCCCAAACAGAAAGTACCGTGTCTGTATTTGGTCAAACTTTCTGTCAAGATACAGCTATAATGACGCTGCGTTCTTTTCAGGGGAAGTCGATAGGAAGGACGCGACCCACAGAACCACATCATGGTCCACATGTCATTGGTGTACTTCATTACGGTACGGAAAGCGTAAGGAAAAAAAAAAAAAAAAAAAAAAAAGGAAAAACGTACTTCAATATACTATTATAAAACCTATGTATGTTACCTATCTACAGGATTTGCCTTTTTTAAAGTAAAAAAAAAAAAAGGTGGTAAACATTGGCAGGAACCGCGACTGAATCCGGATACTTCTGATGAGAAGGCTCCAGAGCGGAATCGACACTGTTTGTAATTTTTCGCATTCCATCTGCCCCAGGATCCGACAAGAATCAATAGCTTGAATGTGATACTAAAAATCATCCAGGTACCAACGGAACTGGATAATGCAATAGTCAGGATCTACGCACACACTCACCCTTGTCGCACTGTATCACGACAGGCATTGAATTTCGGGTTTAGGGCCTCTGGGGTTCAGGGTTTAGGCGCTTTTGGGTTTACTGGTTCAGGAAGGCGCTTTGGAGTCTAGGGTTTAGGGGCTTTAGGGCTTAGGGCTTAGGGTTAAGGCGTCCAGATACCACAACAGTCGCACTGTCGCACTGTATCACAACAGGTTTTGAATTTCGGGCTTAGGACCTCTGGGGCTTAGGGTTTAGGCGCTTTAGGGTTTACGGCTTCAGGGAGGCACTTTGGGGTCTACGGTTTAGGGGATTTGGGGTTTAGGGCGTAGGGTTAAGGCGTCCAGATACCAACGGAACGGAAGAATGCAATAGGCAAGATGTACGCACACACTCACCCCTGTCGCACTGTACCACAACAGGCTTTGAATTTCGGGATTAGGGCCTCTGCGTTTAGGGTTAAACCACCAGTACATGCCCCCAGCCTTGATGAAAAGCAAACTCGTTGCCACAAGAGAAATGCAAGGCTTGGGGACGACCTGGTGAAGCGACGGGCAAGTAGGCTTGTGGGCCCATCGAAAACGGGCATTTCCTGCTTGTCCTGTCTGCCCCGTGCATTTCCGCATTCACGTATAGAGCCAGCATCGCTGCCACGGGGATAACAACAAAGAAAAAGCGAAAAACGAAAAAGAAACAAAAACAAAAAAAAAAAGGAGAAGCATTGGGCCTGCCTGGCAGCACAAAAGACAAAAAAGGTGGCAATGTATCTTTCCATATTCTAGGTTTTCTGGGTTTCCTTTGGATGCATTTCGCCACATTCCTGGTCCATATTCGAGGAACGGGCTCATAGAGACTTTCTGTTTTAGGTGCCCTGCCAGCAAGGAAGGGCGTTTTTCAACTGTTCCTCGTAGCCCGTTCCTCTCGGTGCACGTATCTACCTTCTAAAGCTGTCTTTATGCATCGAGGGGCATGCCTCTGGGGGCAAGCAGCCCCCAACCAGTTACTGGCGCCTGTCATCACGGACTGCCAGCAAGATAAGTGGAGATACGTGCCCAGAAGAGAAAGGCATCCGTTTTGACGGGGATGCCAGCCTTTCTGAAAGTAGGACCATTGTTTTGCTGTTTTTTTTTTTCATGAATCTTTTACAGTTTTGGGGTAGATACAGGCGCATTCCTTTGAGGGTACACTCAGACCACGGCCTGACTGGGATGGATCCTACTGCTATTGCCGCCAACCTCAGCAGAAAACGTCAGAGTTCCCTCTTCTTCATAATTGCTGTATCTCTTTGAAACCACCTATATCTGGTGCTCGAACTCGGCCAGATACACGGGCTGGCTTTGTGGAGGGTTTGGCTGTAGTGGCACACGAGTGAAATCGACAGCCGTGGTCCAGACGGGAGTGAGGTAATGCGAGCGACTTATGATCCCTCAGGGGCTGAAGCAAGCAGTAGAAGGCCCGGTAACGACAGCAAGAAGAGCAGACAACACACAGACAGGAGAGGGGGAAGAAGAACTGAAGGGTTAAGCGTACAACACACCCCTGAAGTGAAAAGAAGGGCAGCAGAGTGCAGAGAAGTCGTGGTCCAGACGGGAGTGCGGGAATGCGAGCGACTTATGATCCCTCAGGCGCAGAAGCAAGCGGTAGAAGGGCCGCTAACTACAGCGAGAAGAGCAGACAACACAAACAGGAGAGGGTGAAGAACTGAAGGGTTCAGCGGACAACACACCCCTGAAGTGAAAAGAAGGGCAGCAGAGTGAGAGAAGCCGTGGTCCAGATGGGAGTGAGGGAATACCAGCGACTTGTGATCCCTCAGGGGCTGAAGCAAGCAGTACGAGGCCGGCTATCGACGGCGAAACAAGGAAACAGCCGACGACACAGACAGGAGAACTGAGGGCCGAAGTGGACAACGCGCCCATGAAGTGAGAAGAAGTGCAGCAGAGCGCAGAGAAGTCGTGGTCCAGATGGGAGTGAGGGAATACGAGCGACTTGTGATCCCTCAGGGGCTGAAGCAAGCGGGAAGAGGCCGGCTATCGAAAGCGACGCGAGGAGACAGCCGACAACACAGACAGGAGAGGGTGAATAAGAACTGAGCGGCGAAGTGGACAACACATCTGTCAAGTGAAAAGAAGCACAGCAGAGTGCAGAGAAGTCGTGGTCCAGACTGTAGTGAGGGAAGACAAGTGACTCAGGGGCTGAAGCAAGTGCTAAGAGGTCGGCTAACAACAGCAACACAAGGAGGGTAAGAGTAAGAGGAAGCGGTAGAAGGGCCGCTAACGACAGCAAAACGAGGAGGCTCAAAGTAAGAGAAAAAGGTAGGTGTGGGGGTGTTAACCTCTCAGGCATATTTTGGCAGTTCCGTCCCCCCTTCGAAAGCTGATTCCATATGATCGGCTCACAATTGACTGTGTTCTTCTTGGCTCTGAACAAGGTGGATTTCATACGATCGCTGACCGTTGATATGCGTTCTCCTTTACAAGTGTACTCCTCACTCCTTGCCGCTCGCTCTTCAGCATGATCTCAACGAGGAGTAGCTTGCCTGCAGGCTGCAGCCCTTTACTCTGAGTCTGGCATTGTCCCACTCTATCCATGCTACCCGCCTTACCCAGCCAACTGCTCCTCAAGTGTCACCCTGGTCACCTGATGCCCCGCCCTTCCCCTCCTCGTGCACCTTATGTCCTCCTCATGACATCCTCTCCTCTAGAAGTACGTGTCTGACGATGGAGAAAGAAAGCGAGGAAAAACAAGA